ATATCTAAACAAAAACGCTGAGTGCGATCAAGAGCACTTGCGTATTGCAAAATAATTGCTTAGTCAAAAACGTTCTTTCAATAGAAATCATACTCAACTAGAACAGATTTCTCTGCTGTACTGCTGCTTACCTAAAGATGCGTGAGAAAGTAACCTTCGCGAGGCAAGCGTTCCGAGCCGCTTGCTTAAAATCATGGAAAATATGCAACTTGTGCTCGTGAAATTAGGGTAATACATAGTGAACAATTATACATAGTGAACAAATACAACACAAAATTCTTAATAGAACAATTCTCTTGAGCTCCTCCTGGCTACCACTCCTTTCCATTTTATTTCCCGGGAACTTCTTGTATTCTCTATGAGCTGCAAATTATTGAGTGATTTTTTTGTATTGAGAGGTCTATTCTTCGAATGATCATAATTCGCAGGCTCAGTTCCTTCAATTAGAAAAGTACATCACTTTAAAATTCAATCAATTGTAAAGAGGTTACGAGAAGTTCTGGATATGGGGCGAAATTGAGTTGTTTTGAAGAATGGAGTGCATGCTAGTTGTATAATTTTTTCGCAAAAGTGTTTTTTGTTTCCTTATTTTTTCCTCTTGCCGGACTCTGACTAAACTCCCAGGAAAAAAACTGACAACTAGTATGATATAGAACATCTTCAATAAACAACTGCATTCAAGTAGCAAATTATTATAGGTGTCATCTTAGTCGGCATAGTCAGCTCGAAGGAATTTATTGATGTTATCGGCTTATCAATCACATAATCAGATTAGCACGCAGGCAACCATGTTATCATGTCGCTCGCGCAACCAATTATAAAACGAGCCCTATCAGCTTGGGCTTTTGAAACCTTCCGCCTAAAACCGCCTTTGAGTGAAGCGTTGCTGAGCCCCGACGTGGAAGGGACCACCATCAGGGCGTGGATTGCCTTGCCCATCAGTGACCGTTGTCTGTCCGTTGATAGTGGAATAAACGGTAGTGTCCCCATTGATAGTCACTGCCACCCTTTCCTCCAACTGACCGTTGTTGTTGGTGAAAGTTGAACTTTGAGTAGAGATCGAACTGGCTAACGGTATCTGGGCGGTGTAGGTGCGCCCGCCAATGGTGGTAGTAATCATGCCGCCCGAACTGCTACTGATCACGGATGTTCCGCCCATATTGGAACTTTGTGAGAAGGCTGTATTCAACGAGCTTTGAACGGAATCCTGGATTTGTCTCGCTAATTTTGGTCCGAAATCCGGGTCAAATGGACCACCCTGAAATTTTTACTATAAAAGTTGCTTGATGCATTTCACTATTAGTTATTGGAAAAAAACGTGAATATGATAACGCTTCTTTTTCCGCAAAAAAGCTTCATGATACTATACGTACCTGAAACGGATTTCCGCCACTGAAGGGAAAGTGTCCATTTACCTACAAAACGACTTTCAACTGTCACCTCGATGACCAGTTATATCATGAATTGAATCCTTTCAGTTAAGCTTCTGTACATCATCTAATTGTTTTCACTTCTTTACATCCTGAACCTCCAGCACAAAAAA